GAACAAGTGTGTTTCCTTTCTGATGTGGAATGGAGACAGCCAAAGTCTCTCTTCAATTGTGTTTAGTAATGTAATCCAAGAAAAAGTATTCTCTTCAGGTGCACAAAGAAATGTATCTCCTCCTTCACAGGTGTTTCAGTGAAAGGGAGTATTCTAGAGAGTCTTAAAATGCTAGAATGTTTCAGAATTGTAATTCTAGACCTATCTAGACAGCCAGGGATGGTGTAGATAAAGGAAGTGAGGACAGAATAAGTGGGAAGAAAAGAATACGTAGAATAAAGAAAAAGTCACGCGCCGCGCGATTTCACCAGGTGTTGAAAGATGGGAGTGTGGTGTGATAGGACTGAGGGCATTCCTATGTGTTCATCAGAAGAGAGAAATTTACAAATGAAAGACGTGGGTAAGGGGACAGAAGAAGAAAGGAAAAATAAAAGTGTACCTGGCTGAAAGAGGGGTGTCTGGCTTGGGGGTCCCGGGTCTGAAGCTACAGGGGGCAGTCCTCCCTCAAAGTTCCTCCAAATGTACTCATTTTTTTCTGAGAGGAAGAGGGGGAGCACCTGCAGCATGGTTTTCACACTGCAATCTGTACCCAGCCTCAGGCAGCCAGCATCATAGATATGTGCCTGGAGTATACAGAGAGATCTTGGGACACAAAACTGGACCTTCCCAAGAGGTCTCAGCATTGAGGAGTGTTGCATTACCACTGTGCGTGAGAGGTGGCCTTACAGAACGTTTTCTAAGAGTGGCCTTTCTGAGCCATTGGCTTTATACAACTTAAACTTCAGTGGATGTTATTAATCTGCTCTCTAAAATGACTGTACTAAATATATACCCAGAAAGATGCTTTTTTTTGGTATGTTGACATACAAAGTTATCCTATTAGAGATGTATATTAGCATGAGAGCAGGTCTTTTCCTAGGTGCTTTCTCTGAAATGTGAAGCTTCCTGGTGTATCACAGGAATCTATTTCCCTAAGTGATGGTGGCTACACAGAGCTTGGTTCCTGGGGGCTGAGACCATAAAAGACAAGAGGAGAGCAAAGATCTAGGGACCCAATAGAAACACAAAATAAATGTTCTTCAGAAAGTGTGATTTATGGTAATAGGCAGAATCTGAGTTCTGCCCAGATGTCGTGGGGCATAAAAGAGCAATTAACCTTTGTTTAGGTGTGTCCTGTCTAATCAGACTCTTGGTCCTTCTTCAGTTCCCAGTGTCAAGTAACACACGAAGGGATTTCAAAAGTTAATGGAGGAGATTGTACTTGGAAGTAGTGGATGCACCAACATGTCCTGTGATTCCAGCGCTGGTCTTGACTGCCACATTATCATTTTTTCACCCGAGGGCTGGCTCTACCAAGTAGAATATAGTTTCAAGGCTATTAACCAGGGTGGCCTTACATCAGTAGCTGTGAGAGGGAAAGACTGTACAGTAATTATCACACAGAAAAAAGTTCCTGAAAAATTATTGGATTCCAGCACCGTGACTCACTTATTCAAGATAACTGAAAACATTGGCTGTGTGATGACAGGAATGACGACAGCTGACAGCTGATCCCAGGTACAGAGGACACACTATGAGGCAGCTAATTGGAAATACAAGTATGGCTATGAGATTCCTGTGGACATGCTGTGTAAAGGAATTGCTGATATTTCTCAGGTCTACACACAGAATGCTGAGATGAGGCCTCCTGGTTGTTGTATGGCATTAATCGGTAGACGAAGAACAAGATCCTCAGGTGTACGTACAAGTGTGATCCTGCAGGTTACTACTGTGGGTTTAAAGCCACTGCCGCAGGAGTTAAACAAACAGAGTCAACCAGTTTCCTTGGAAAAAAAAGTGAAGAAATTTGATTTGACATTTGAACAGACAGTGGAAACTGCAATTACATGCCTGTCTACTGTTCTGTCAATTGATTTCAAACCTTCAGAAATAAAAGTTGGAGTAATTACAGTTGAAAATCCTAAATTCAGAATTCTTACAGAAACAGAGCTTGATGTTCACCTTGTTGCTCTGACAGAGAAAGACTAAACATTGTCATTAGTTTACCAAATCCATGATGCCACTCGCCTGTGTGTTTGGTAACAACAAACTAACATATGGAGGTCCCTGGATTGTAAAAGAAACCTCTTCCACTCCTCCTACTGCTGAAGTGGTTAGGACTCTGTATAAATAAAAACAGTGCTTTTGGGGGAAAAAAAAATTAATGGAAAGATTGGATTAAAGTACAAGTTAATTTTGGCACAAAGAGAGCTTAAAATTCATACACAGTTTTTATAATATGCATTTCCAATGTATTTGTCTTGGGATTGCCCAAAGCTTCAAGGTCATTTAAAAGACTATATCATCAATATCATTTAAAATTTTCAAAGAAAACTAAGGAGAAAAGAGAAAATTCTCTTTTTAAAAAATTTTATTTATTCATCCACCTATTTTAATTTGACCAGAGAGAGACAGAGAGAGAGAGAGGGGAAGTCAGAAAACAAGCCACCAAGTCCAGGACTCCAAACATGGTCGGCCATGTGGGAGTATCCAGTGCCTTAACCACCACACCACCTGCTGGTCCCCAAAAGATTCTCTTACCACAAAGAAAAAGGAAAACTTTAAGTGAATAAAACTGTTGTGCATAAAGTATAAAGAGAAGGGTTCTAAACGCACATTATATGATATTTTGGTTTTCTAAAGTCACCTATATTGTTTTAAACTAATGTGTGCTGCTCTTCCTACTATCTGACAGGTCTAGTTCCCAGCAATGTGCATATTGCACCACGTTTAATTCTCACAACTGTGCAAAATAGGTGATCTTTATCATCTTTATCATTACCTATTTTATTTGTGAGGGACAGAGATATTGACTAACTGGCCTAAGGTCACAAAGTTTGTAAGGAGAACCGTTCGTTTGAATTCTGATTCAAGAGTCCCCAGATTTTAAACACCATACTGCATTGTTTTTCAATCTAGGGGTCCATGACTCTTTGATTAAACACATTTTTTTGTCTTTTTCTATCTTTTCCGTGAACCACTACAACAGGACGCAGTTTAGATACATTATTACATAAATCTTTGGAAACCATAATCTGAAAAAAAGAGTCAAACACTTCACACAAACAGAGAGCCAGAGGAAGGGGTGGGATACAAATGTCGTTTAGATAAAATTAAAAAATGTTTATTCGATCACAAATGAACAGCCAACCCCTAACTTCCTGCAGAACATTTTAATCCAATCCCTCTGAGCAAAGGCGGGACTTGGCCTGTGAGAGCGGGCAGGCCCGGCGCATGCTCAGAGCGCGACGCCGACTCCGCTTGGCGCGCGACCCCGCCCCCTCGGCCGCAGGGGTTGCCGGGACGGCCCCCATCTTCTTTGAGCGCGCTAGGCCAGCGGGTGTCGCTGGGAATTGGAGACGTTGCCGTGGCTGTTAGTGAGCCTGTGGAACGCCTCTGCGGGACCTGGCCCTAAAGGTGAGGAACTTTCGGTGGCTCATGAGGAAATACGAAAGGGTCTGTTCTGCGGGGTGCGCGGCGGCGCGTTTTCTTTTTCTGCTTCCTCACGAGGCGAGCGTCTGCTTCTCGTCTTCCTCACGTTCGGGCCGAGTGCCGCGTGGGCCGCAACTGGAGGCTGTGCTGGGCTCGGAGCGGAGTGGGTGCGGGCCGCGGTGCGACTGGAGCCGGCCCCTGCGATGAATGCGGGACCCCGAGGTTTCCTGCACGTGGCTGGGGCCCAGGCGAGCCGGTAGTTTCTTTGGGACGCGGCTCCGGCGGAGTCCTTGCGTAGATGCTGCACCCCACTGCGTCCTTTCTGTTTCATACATCCACATCCACTTCCGCTTCCCGCTCGGCGAAGGCTGCGTTTTAGGCCACCTGTGTAAGTTTCTGAGGCGGTCGGCGCGACGTAAACGCCGGAGGGTTCCGCCGAGCTTGTGGGACTGAGCGGAGGCCGAACAACGGAGCTGTGGTGTACTTCCGGCGTCGCTCCTCTCGGGCGTTTAGGGCTCCCATGCACTCCACGAAGGCTGCTTCTGAGGGAATGGGAAAGCATGGGTGATATTTCACTTGTACATTCTGGGAGAGTGTCTGATGAAACTAAGTTTCAAAATTGGACAGGACAAAGAAGTCTTGGAGGACTAAATCTGTCTTTTGCTTTATGAGGGGCCCTAGATCACGGTAGTAATTTACGGAGTGTAGTTTGTGGTCAACATAACAATGCGTAAGATAGAGGAAATTTTGTATGGGATGTGCACGTCTCCATTGCAGTAGGTGCCATTGTGTGTCCACCTTAATGAATAGCGATTACGGTACATCAAGCTGTGCATACCAACAAAAGTTCATCACTTCTGTCAGCTAATGGCAGACATTTTTGATGGATTCTTCTTAATATACTTTAGTACAGTATGGATGACGGGGTGGTTTAGTAGAGCACTGGAGGCAAGAAAGATTGGGTTTGTGTTTTTTAACAGCCTCTTTTTTTCCTGCAGTGCTAATAGCAGAGATGTGAAACAAGAAAAACTGGCTATAAAGTTAACCAAGGTATTAGTGAATTAGTAGGCATAACTCCCCCTCCAGTTTACAGTTGTTTCATGTTTGGAGTTGTTCACCTTAACTATCGTTCACCTTAAGGCTAGATCCTAACTTGCTGTTAGTAAGTTTTTGGTAAAGTCATTTGTGACTAATTTTATAAGAAATGTGATTCTCACCAAACAAAGAGCACTGAGAGCCATAGTATATTGGCAGATACTGATCTGTTTAAAAACGGAAATGGTTGGTAAATGGTTGAATCCAGTTTTTCCCCTGCAACTTGCTTGAATGATTAAATAACTATAACCACTTTCTGTGGCAGAGATTGACTGAAAGGAGAGCAGAGTATTTATAGTTCTTCAGTTTTCCATCACTTATTACAAAGTATTGCCTTGTTGACAATATTTGAGAATTAAGTAGAGAAATGGAACCGGTAAATTATAAATTTCTTTTAAGTAAACGATGAGTATTAATAATTTTTAGATATCTTGAGCTTTATATAAAAAAAAAATAACCTCTCTATGTTGGTTTGGGAAAATTTACAGATAGCCACAATGGCTGAAAATGGTGATAATGAAAAAATGGCTGCTCTGGAGGCCAAAATCTGTCATCAGATTGAGGTATGATGATTGTGTTGTTCAACTGTAAAAACACATTTCTTGAAAGGAAATTTAAGCCCCAAACAAATGTAGAAAGAACACTTAATTTCAGTATGTGGTCTCTTCAGCATTTGGCTTATCTTTGATTTTTTTTTTTCCTAAAGAATTATCTAACTTTATTTATTTTCTTATTTTAATTTAACCAGAGAGTGGGAGTGAGGGTGAGAAAGCAAGCTGCCAGGTCCATTACTCTAACCAGGTCAGCCATGTGAAGTGCAGTGTCCTTAACCACCACGCCAGCTGCTGACCCCTATCTTTGATTCTTAGAATTAGCTGAAGATACAGTAGTATACAGTTTTAGATTGGTGGAGTCATGATGACACATAAAAGCTACAAACATTTCAAAAGAGAGCATTATAGTGTCACTTAACCATGTTTATTTTAGTTTCCTAACTTGTAAGATGAGGAATATTGGTAGTACTCTCTCTTTCTCTATTTCTCCATCCTGTTAGGATTTTGGGCACGCCTGCAAACATGCCTGGTATGTTTCAAGCCTCTGGAGTCTAGATTTGAACCGCGTTTTTGGTCATATGGGCCCCTGCTCCATTAACCACAGGTCACAGGGCCAGGCCAGTGATGAATATTCTTAATATAGACATTTACAAAACATGTTTACTGATATTTTCAAGCTAGAATTCCTAGAAAGAGCTGTAAGGGATCAAGGATTATGCACATTTTATTTATTCATTTTTTAATTGTCAAAAGGTGTGTGTGCTCTCCAGAGACAGAGGGAGAAAGCAGCCCTCAATGGGGTGCAGTCATCTCCATTTTTCCATCCCTTTGCGATTTGGGGCACACATGCATATGAGCCCAGTGTGTTTTCTTCAGCAGCCAAGGCTGGGATTTGTACTGCAGCTGACCAGGATTATGTACATTTTAAAAACTTGATACTGGAACCAGCAGATGGCGTAATGTATTCCTAACTAGTTGACTATGGTTCGAGTCCTGGATCCCATGGCTTAAAACTCAAACTGGGTGTGCTTGTGTGCATGCCCAAGATCCTGAGAGGTGAAGGGATTGTGATGTGACCATGACACTGGGGGGTAATCTCTCGCTTTCTGTCTCTCTGGCAAGCACACATGCCCTACAGCAAAAATCTCCCTAAGAAAACAAAACAAAAAACAAACTTGATACTTACTGTCCATTTACTTTTCTTACCTGCCCTACTCTTTCTCAGCATTTAGGCTAATACTAGATATCATTGGTGATTGTTTTTTTTCCTATCTCTCTCTTTTTTTTTTTCGAGAGGATTTTGCTATGGAGTGCGTGCGTTTGCCAGAAAGACAGAGACAGAAAGCGAGAAATCTCCCCCTGGGGGAGGGGGGGATGGCCACACTGCAGTCCCTTCTTCTCCATTTTCCTCTTGGGATGTTGGGCACACACACACACACACACACACACACGTGAACCTGGCATGAGTTTTAAGTCACTGGGTCTGTCAAAGTTCAGCAACACAGCCATTACACCTCTTTCTTTCTTTCTTTTTTTAAAGAATTTTAATCAGTTTGGGGGAAAAGCTGTTTCATTGTTTTAAATTATATTTGATTAATAATGAGGTTGGACTTTTTATGTTTATAGTACATTTTTACTTTTTTTTTTTTTTTTTTTTTAGTTTTTTTTTTTTTTGGGCCTGTGTGCT